GGCTAAGTCTTGGGCGACTCTAGCTTGGTCTTGCATAAACCTATCTTGTTGCATTGCCATCATGCGAATGTTGTCCATGATGGGTCCATTTCTCATTGTTTGAGCAAATTTTTCCACCATATCATTTTCATCAGGTGCAAATTGTGAACTTTCCACTTGAAGTTCCCTGGCTTGTATCTCTTCTAGTTCGGCAGGGTCTTGGACAGACTTGCCTTACCTTCTTCCACCGGCCATTGAACAATCTGTTTAGATGTCCTGCCGAGCGTGCCAATTATGTTTGGCTCCTAAAAACCGGGGTCCTTTCTAATTAGAAAATGAGGGTGAATGTCAGGCGTGCCAGGAACTGCTGTTGTTCCAAAGTGGATATCCAAACAACTATGCAGTAAAAAATTGTAGGAATCAGGCGATTGAATGAAGGACTGGAATTACCACCTTCAAATGTTCTTTTTGCCTTGGAAAAGGACTTTCGGATTGAACTATGGCTAGTGGAAAGGAAAGCTGTATTGAAAGTGCAAGGCTGGAAAGTAAAGTGCTAGAAAGTAGGAATAGTAAATGTAAGATTTGAATTAACCATATTGAAATTGTATTACATAAATGTAAAGAAATTGAAGTGCTGTTGGTTGTGTGTGTTGAACAGAATTTACAAACTAGCTCTAAGTGTTCTATTTATAAAGCCCCTCCATGCATGTAAATTGATGTGTGGCAGCCTTAGTAGCTTCCACGTGGATTAACTTCAAACAGCTAAGTGTCCCACAATCATTTAGCAGTTACAATTTCTTCTTCCTCTGTCGCAAACCTCTTCCTTCTTCAGACACGATTTATTCAACTTTGTTACCCACTATCCTCAATAACCACTTCGGCTAATGGTAGTTTCACTATAAAGTTCCACCACTCTCAACCGATGTATCCTTGTTTAGCCAGGTGTCCCACAACTTCTACTAGTCTTCTCTTTCTATAAAACCTCTATGTCATGGCATCATAGCCTGATCTGTATAACCTCCTAGTCATGGATCACATATACCAGAAATATAACTGCCCACGTCCCTCAAACTTTGGTAACTTCCATTCTAAGATTTTCCTTCAGAATTCATAACACCATAATCTCCTGAATATATATATATCCGATTCTTTTCTTTTTGCAAACCAATTTCCTGGATTTTAGCCTGAGCTTTCTATACTAATCTTCATAGCGTTGTGGTCACTTTCCATTCTTTCACCAATTGTACATCATGGATCGTGGTTATAGCATACTTCCTTGATTTTAACTTTCACCATGGTTCGTTCTTGGATCCAGTACTCAATGGCACCATAAAATTCTCCTTCACAACGGTTATTCTATCATGGGTTAGTTAAATAAATAAATATATATATATATATATATATATATATATATATATATATGTATATATATTTATAGAAGTTAACCTCCCACGTATCCTTTTGTCTGACTTAGCAAAATAAATGTTAAAGTCTCCTAAAAGCATGGAGACCCTCAACCCCACATTCCACTTCCTTGATTAAGTCAACTTTGGTAAATCACATACTGGGAAAAAACCTCTAATTACTTATAAATACATGATTTTACCCATAAGCCTTCCATAACAACAATTCTTTAAAAGAATTGATATATTATGTTAAGTTCCACAGAACTCGCCATGTGTCAAAAACCAATTGGTTCATAAGAATTGCATTCCAGCGTGGTAAGTTCCATTGGAACTCGCCACATATTTTCTCCTTATTGGTTGGTAGGACCAAATTAGTCTTCAACAACTTCAAATCATGCCACCTTTTTTGGATTTTTAAAAAAGGTGATCCAATGTAGCAAGCTCATTGGAACTTGCCACATGTCACATTTCCATTGGGCCAAAAAAATGGAGTAAACAGTAAGCGTGCTTAAAAAGAAAAAGTTAAAATAACTTAAGTGCTAAACGATAATTCTTGAGAAAATAGTAAATGTCATGTGTAGTATGATTTGAATAAAGTCTTCTTGATCATATGTATGGATAATTGTAAATCCTCTAATTTATTTTGGAAATTCTTTAAATTTATATTTTTTTATTTTGTGACTAGACATGCATGAAGGTAAGATATTATATATATATATATATATATATATATATATATATATATTATATGAATTCATCGGTTAAACTTTTTATAGAATAAATAATTAAATGAATAAATCAAGTCGTCCTACTTTGAAATGCAGATGTAAATATAGGTTTCTTTCAAACCGTAGTATTATATACATGAAAAGTCTATAATGTATAGGGAATCTTAAAGAGAGATAGTGGGAAAGAGAGAATTTGGAGTCGTGTGAGAGAATTTTAGAAAGAAAAAGGTAAATTTGAGTCAAATAGAGGTTGTGAAACTGGGTCTCTTATATAATGGGTGAAATATAGGTCAAAATGGGTGACCCATATTCAACCTATTTACCCCTCTATAAAAATGTATTGAATATGAGTCACCCATTTTGACCCATATTTTAAAATGCATGGTACACTCATATTCATTTTAAAGCAGGCAGATATGAACGGGTTAGTGGATCATGACCCATTTTGCCACTCCAACTTGTATCTGAGAATTGGAATTTATATGAGATTCAAATTAGGGTTCATGCGACCACAACGATTACATGGAGCACGACATCCTTTAGGTTTTGTGTATCAATTTGATTGTTTGAGAGAGAGAGAGGGAGAGATAGAGAGAGTTGATAGAGAAAGCTAAGCCGGGGGATATAGAGAAAAACAAAAAAAAAAAAATATGCCATATGATTTAGGAAAAAAAAAAACGTAAGTCCATGGAAGAGAGAGTAAAAAAAAAAAAAACACTAAGTAGGATTTTTTTTTTTACAAAGCAGTCAAAGTCCCCACACTTCAAAATTCACCAAATGCACTAGGCTATCGAGGCATCTGTTAAAGTAAGTAGGATGGAAGAAAAGAAATGATGTGGTGGGTAGGGCCTACAATAAGGGACATAATAAACTTTCATAGTAGGAAAATCGAAACATTGTCACATTATCATTCATGATGCATATCTAGAATTTTGATGTGGTGGGTAGGGCCTACAAGAGCATGCCAGAATAAATTTTGACAATAAAAACAAATTAAAACACTGTCGTTGTACCATTCATACACGTGTATCCTCGAAAAATGATAAATATCATGAATAATTTTTATAATAAAATATTATGTATGGTATGGCATGTGATGTGAGTTTCCAGTCCGGTGTAATTTTAAAATAAATTTTTAGGAGAGAATAAAGCTTGTAGGAATACCAATACTGCGAGTGATAAATATAACACTTTTGATTGATTAATAACTTTCGTAATCTCTGAATCTGTAATTGGCCCTATTACTCCCAAATTAGGATTATGTTTAAGATATAGCGAGATTAGGTTGTGTAACTGTATTTGTGTGTGTGTGTGTGAATATATATATAAGTTTCGAACAACAGATTACGGGCATTGATTGTTCCAAACTCCCAAGCATCTATTTAGAATTTTTCATTAGCGAGGACGGAGGCTTTGTTTCTAAGAAATGAAATTTTCATAAGATTCAATTAGGGTTTATGTGCCAAAAAGAATACACGAAACATGGCATCCTTTTAAGTTTTATGCATCAATCTGATAGTTTGAGAGAGAGAGTTTGATAGAGAAAGCTAAGTCGAATGGTTAGGGGACAAAAAATAAAAAGTAAGCTAGATGATTTAGGGAGGAAAAAAAAATATAAAATAAGTCGATCAAAGAGAGAGAGTTAAAAAAAAATAAAAAATAGCAAGTAAGATAGAAGAGGGAAAGTGATGTGGTGGTAGTGCCTCCAAGAGCGAGCCAGAATAATCATTGACGATGAGAAAATTTTAACGTTGTAGTACCATTTATGATGCACATCTATAAATTTGTTTCTTGATGTATATTGCTGGTCCATCGGATTGCCAACTCACATGCCACCTCATTCGTGATACTTTATCATGAAACCCATTCAAAATGTATATGATTTCTCTAAGTTGTTGTACCAAATATCAGATTTGCTTGAATTTTCAAAAGACAAAAATCATATATAATTGTGATTGACCACACTGGCTATAAATGGAAAATGATATAAATGGATATTAATTGATGGGTCCAAATCGTAATGCTATTAAATGGGAGAAATTATTAGATGGCCAACCATTTGACATGCACTTAGTAAATTAATCCGATGAAAATTAATGTTGACTTCATTTTTTTTTTTTTTTTTGGTAATATATTAGTACATTCTTGTGGGATAATTTTTTTTTACTAGAAGAGTTTGAATTGAACTAGTTCACTAAGTGTCAATGAAACCATCTAACAATTTCAATTTGGCTGGTTCAAATTCAATTATAAACTATTGACATTTCTTTGTAATATATATAATACATTCTTGTGTGTCTATCTTTTCAATTGAAGAGTTTGAATTGAACTGGACCACCAAATATCAATGGTCTAGAACTATCTAATAATGTCACATTAATTGGTGGGTCCAAATTCAATTATAAACTATTGCAGCAATGCTTAACTTTTTTTTTTTAAAAAAATACTTAACTATTCACTAGTAACAATTAAAGTGGTCCAATCATACATATATATATATATATATATATATACTCCCAGTTTCTAAATTGCTCTTCTAATTTTTTAATATTTAAATTTAAAATTTAAAACTCTAATGACATATATAAAAAGATGAGAAATATATTATTTAAAAAAGAAAAGTGAATAATTATTTTAATTAGAACAAACAAAAGAGAAGCTCACACTTATTTTGGAGGGAGGGATTGATAATTGTAATTGATGGGGATTACTTTCTTCCCAATATAGGTTGCACAAAATGCATACTTGCAATTGACAACTAAGGCTATATGATCCTCTTTTCCCTCCTCAATTCTCTCCTTCTATAATTCACTCCTTTTACCTTCTTTGAAATATTCTCCATTCCATCACCCCCAGAAAAGATCTCAATTCCTCTCTCTCCCTCCCAATGTCCAGCGACACCACCACTGAGCCAACCACCACCACCACCACCAAACCCAAAACGAACAGCCGCCGCGTCTCATGGTCAGATTCATATACCAAATCGGAAAGGGCCATCCAATCTCTCTCTCCCATCCTCACTTCCATCCCCCCTCCTCTCTTGTCCGCTGATAACCCTGCTTTCTCCCTCCTCCATGACCCCGACGTAGCATCCCAAATCTCAGCCCTCCTCCGCGAACCCGACTCCGGTGCCGGCGAAAACAACCTCTGCCGCTGGCTCTACGACACATTCCAAACCTCCGACACTTCCCTCCAACTCGTCGTCCTAAGATTCCTACCCATCATTGCCGGCGTATACCTCTCCAGGGTCGCATTGCGCAAGCCTCTCGCCGGGTTTGAAGCTGTTTTCTTGGCTCTTTATGCCCACGAAACCGCCTTTCGCAATGGCCAGTCAATCACTGTCAACATCCCTGACCTCTCTCACTCTAGCATCTACCATGAAACCAAACAAACCACCACCAAAAACAGCTCGATGGAGCTGAATTTAGGGGTGATTTCTCCGACTTTGGAGCCTCATGGCACAGTAAGATCAACCAGGAGGGCACGTATCGTTGGTGTAGCCCTAGAGCTATATTACAGTAAGATATCTCAAATGCCAATAGATTCCAAGATAGATTTCTGTCAGTTCTGTGAGGTGTGGGCTGGTCAAGATGGAAACATATATATGGATGGTATAGACGACAAGATGGGTGAGTCCGAGGTGAGTGAACTCGGTGGCGAGAAGGATGAGAAGGATAAAGGGGTGAAGGAGGGAAGGATACCTCTGCCATGGGAGCTTTTGCAACCAGTTTTGAGAATTTTAGGTCACTGCATGATGGGTCCCACTGGAAGCAAGGAACTACATGAGGCTGCATGTGCTGCATGTAGGAGTCTCTATGCAAGGTCTTTGCATGACATCAACCCTAAAGCAATTTTGGCCACAGGGAGTCTTCTTAGGCTTGGGAAGATTGGTTTGGACTCAAATGATGATGATTTTGATCACACTGAGATATCAATGTCTAGTTCTATCTCCCTCTAAAGAACAATTTATTCTCTCTATTTATTTTGTCATTGTCAGAAAATTTAAGAATTTTGCTAGTGTTCTTTCTCTTGCGAAAAGGTGTCTAATTGTGTGTGCGCGCAAGTTAGTGAGTGACGTGGCTGTTAGGATATGTGTGCCCTAGCATAGCAAATTCTAATTTTGGATTGTAAAAGTCATGGTTTCTTGTCTGGATATTATTATTAAAGCATTATACAATTGGTGAATGGAATGTATTATTTTTTCGATTCTTTATGGAATTGATGGTGTCCGCTTGATTACAAAATATATTTATATATGTATGTAATGGCAATTAATACTATGATATAAATTAGTAATCATAAATGGTTTAAAGTCGGTAATTATGGATGGACATTTAATTAGTTAAGACTTAAACCGAGTCCACGATAAATTGAGATATATTGCGAGAGCTGTCGTATGCAATTGCTCTCTATCACAGTCATGGCTTTTGACTCTCAAGCATGAGAGAAGTATAGACTCTTTTATTAATTAATAATTACTTTGATTTGCTCGGCGGATACCTCGGGATCCTTAGATCGACACTTTGGGTAGTTATGTAATTAATAATTAGAGGTTTATATTCTCAATATTTGCATCAGTGCTATTTGTATTTATTTTGTTTTGATTATGGTTGATCACAAATTAAATTCGAAGGCCTTCGTATGTTTTAGGCAAATGTTTTATATATATATTTATTTAATAAATTATTATTTTTTGTCAAATAAATATTTTATTGTGATCGAGCCGGAAATAATCAAAGGTAACAAAATAATTATATTAATTATGTTGTCAGATTGATGGCTTTAATTATCCGATAAATAATTAAGCATAGAGGGGTCAAAGTGCAACATTGACTTAGAGGTTATTTACTATTTAATTGGAGTGCAATTAATTTCTTTTAGTGGAGTAGAAATTAATTTATGAATTAATTGAATTGGGTCCATGGTTTAATGGACCGGACCAATTATTAATTTATAAGAGCCAAGAAAATAGTAAGCCCAAAAGGATTCTCACCAATAGCCCAAGTTGATATTGGAGTCATGTTAGGATTGAGAAAGTTGAATTAGAGATGGAGAATGATTTATTGTTTCCTTATTCTTATTTTTATTTTGCCTATATATACATGAGTTCATGTATATTTTAGGGGTGACTTGGAGAACAAGAAAAAGGAATACACTTTCTCTCTCTAGATTTTAGGGTTTTGTTTCTCTTCTAAAGGAGGCTACCACCAGCCTAGATTCCAAGGTCATTCATCAAGGCATATTGGTGATTCCTAAAGGGAAGATAATAATCAAAAAGAAGGAGAAAGGATCTTGCTAAAGGGATCTACAATAAGTGAGAACATTCACTTTAGAGGAAAGTTCAAAAGGTTTACTCAGACCTTTGATGTGAGTATTCAATCTGTTTATTGAATTATGCATCATCTTTTATTTATCTTTGCATAAAACTTGTCTCCATGTAATGAATCAAAATCTATGATTGCAAATCCCTCATAAAGTTTTAAAAATTTGCACGTTTTCTAACAGTGGTATCAGAGCCAGGTTTGATTCATTACTAGAGAACATGTGTTTATAAAAATCATATTCATGGATCCAAATTATATATACATATATAAAATTATTGATATATGTTGATGTATGATTTATTATGTTGATATATATTAATACATGTTGATGTATATATAATTGTGAATGGATGATGATGTGTGTTTGGGCCATGGATGAAGCTTATAGGTATATAGAATGTAATTTTATTTTTGGATGAATGTAATTAAGGCTTTGTTTTAGCCGTTTGAAAATTCAATGATGTAATTTAATTTTTTCCATTGTATTTCAAATTGTAAGTATTTAGTAAAGCCATGTAATATTCATCAAAGGATGCTATGAAGCTTCAAGAGGGTCCGAAAGGGTTAAATTATGCTTAAGTAATTTTCTGGAATTTTTCCGAATTTTTCAGGAATTTTTTGAGGCTTAATTTAATTTTCTGGAATTTTTCCGGATTTTTTGAATTTTTTTCGACGTTTTTCCGGTGGCCGGAGCTTCGCCGGCGGCGAGAAGAGGCGTCGGAGGTGGCCCGGATCAGGTGTGGCAGTGGCTTGGTGAGCCTGGCGCGTGTTCCACACGCGCCAGGAGTGGGCTGGTCAATGACAAGCTGGCGCGTGGATCTCACGCGCCAGCCAAGGAGTTGGTAGACTCCACGCGCGGGAAGGCGCGTGGAGGCGCGTGGGAGCGCGTGAGGGTGCATTCCACGCGCCCCAAGCGCGTGCCAGCGCGTGGGGGCGCGTGCAGCTTGCCCTAGGCGCGTGCCAGCGCGTGTGGGGTCCTCCGGGCTCGTTCCAAGCGGTGTTTTGCTTCTCCTGACGCGTACAAGCTTCCTATGGGTGTTTACAGACAGTTGAAAGATGCCCGTACAGCAAGAATAGTTTTTAAATGTTAAAAGCTGAATCCATTGGCCATTTATATTGCTTCTGTCTATTATTTGATGCATGGAATAATTTAATAGTTGTTATAATTGTTCATGCATTGGATCCATGATTTTTAATTAAATGGCTTGATTTATATTAATTAAATTATGAAGATAAATTGGATTAGATTGCTAATTAATTTGAGGGCATTTATTGGAAAACAGAAAAATTATTTTTAAAAATTATTTTTTTTGCCTCAAATTAAAGATTAGTGAATCATTTAAAATCCATATATTTTCTAAATTTAATTGGATTAAAATCAAGGCGTTTTGCATGCATTAAATCATGAATTAAAAACCCTAGTTTTATATTATTAAAAATTGAGTGGGAGCGGGGATTTTTTATACAATACCCCATGGCCTTTGTAATTATAACCATTATAATTAGATCTTTAAAAATAAGGCTCCACGCATGATTTAAAGAGTCTAAATTACAAGAATGGTTGTCTCACGAAAATATATTTATTAAATAACCATTATAGTTAGATCTTTAAAAATAAGGCCCTACGCATGATTTAAAGAGTCTAAGCTATTAATGGCAATATATTTAATATTTGCTTTTCCGTTGGAGCATTAATTATGTTATACACTCAATCTAAAATCAATAGTATTAGCTCCCCAACGGAGTGGTCTATACTAGGTGATTTTAGAAAGGCTAAATCTAATCGGGAATTATTTCATATTTAGATAAGGCATTGTCTAAAGAGATATGGAAATAATGAGTTATTCTCATCAATAAGTAATAATGAATTCCGCCAACCGGATAAGTTATTGGCATATTGATTGTCCGATTTTTCATGCAATGTGGTTAAGGGACCCACAATTAATTAATTGTTTTATACTTGCATGATTATTATTATTCACTTTATTTATTGTATGAATGTTTTTATTTTCAGATTTATCATGACTAGTCCATTCAGTCCACTTGCAAACATACTAAAAGAAAATCGATTAACTGGACCTAATTATATCGATTGGAAAAGGCAACTAGATATTGTACTCACATATGAGGGGTTGAATTATGTGCTTACTACTCCTAGACCTTCTCCACCTTTGCCTGAGGATCCTCCTGAGGAGCATGAAGTTTTTAAGAAATGGAATAAAGCAGATGAGATGACTAGGTGCTACATTCTTGCTTCACTCTCGAATGTACTCCAAAGTCAACATCTTCAATATCTCACTTCTGCAGACATTATGCTTAACCTTAAGGAAATGTTTGGGCAAATTGGTAAGAGTGCATGCCAAAATGCTATGACAAATTTGATGACCATTAAGATGGTCTAAGGTACTTCAGTTCGGGAACATGCTTTAAAAATGATTGGTTTTTTAAATGAACTGGAGATCCTTGGATGCAACTTGGATGGTGAACTTCAGGTTGACATGATTATCGCTTCATTGCCAGACTCATTTAACTCTTTTAGGGTTAATTATTACATGAATAAGCTTGAGTACACACTCGCTGAACTATTGAATGAGTTGGTAACCTTTGAAGGGATAAACAAAAGCAAGGGTGCATCTATCAACTACACTCAGTCTGCTGGACCATCTACTTCTAGGCCCAAGAGGAAGGGCAAGAAAAAGAAGAAGGATGGTGCCAAAACTGTGGTTGTGCCAAACAAAGTAATCCAAAAGGATAAGGGAAAGAAGAAAGTGCGGGTTGAAGGCGAAGGAAACTGCTTCCATTGCGGTCAACCGGGTCACTGGAAACCTAACTGCCCAATACTTCGCACACAAGGCAAGGGAAAAGGTATATTCATTGTTGAGGCATGTAATGTGGTTGAATCTATAGATTCCTGGTGCATAGATTCTGGAGCCACTAATCATGTTTGCAATTCATTGCAGGGATTCCAGGAGTCCAGAAGCCTCAATGAAGGAGAGATATACTTGCATATGGGATCTAATGCCAAGGTGGAAGCTAAAGCAGTGGGAGTGGTTCATATGCAGTTTGACAGTGGGAGGAGTCTTATTTTAGAAGATTGTCTTTATGCGCCAAATGTTAGGCACAATTTAATTTCAGTTTCTTCGTTGGTTTGCAAAAATTATATTTTTACTTTTGGAAAAAATGTTTTAATTAAATTAAATGGTTGTGTTATAACTTCTGGTGCATTGAAAGATAATCTATATGTTTTAACTCCTAGCTCATATCAAATGCAAAATTATGAATTAAATGCAACTTCATCTAGATTGAATGTTAAAAGAAAAGCAGTTTCTCCAAACTCATTGTATCATTGGCATCTACGATTGGGTCACATCAATCAAAATAGGATTCAAAGGTTGGTTAAAGAAGGTTTATTACCTAGTGAGGCAGAGGAGCCTATGCCAACTTGTGAATCCTGTATTGAAGGAAAGATGACTCGAAGGACTTACTCAGCCAAAGGAGATAGAGCCAAAGAACAATTAGAGTTGGTGCACACAGACGTGTGTGGTCCCATGAACACCCAAGCGAGAGGAGGGTTTGAGTACTTCATCACTTTCATTGATGATTATTCACGTTTTGGATATATTTACCTAATGCG